TTAACTATGCTTAGGATGTACCCTTGGCAGTTTAAAATAAGCTTGTACAAAAGTTTGTGATAAATCTGAAAGATATACCACATATCTAAAGTTGTTGAAAACATTATGAAACTGGAACTTTCCCCCCCTTGTGGTGCAAAACTGAGACGTGCTAAAATATTCATATTTGCTCCTCCAAGTGTTATTATAGAAAACAACATATGAATTGGTTAATTGGTTTTACATAGATCATGTGTTTAATTTTCTGTTGTAACTGTATTGTGATCTTAAAATATTCATGCATAGCCAGCATATGAATTGCAAAAGCATTCAAGCAGAAAATAGGACTAAGAAAATAAGCTTGTGGACAGTAAAATGAAGTGGCAAAGAAAAAACTCTGTGTGTTATGTGCTTTACTAAGTGTGTGTGAATCAGTGAAACTGTAGCTCATTGAGGATCTTGGAATTTTAACATAAAACTCATTCTGACTTGTTCATACCAGATTGTAAACTTTATCCTATTCACACAAAAGTTACACCTTTTTCCAAATGTATCCATCAGTTGTGCAGATTTTTGAAATGTATACATTTGCTCCCCTTGCTTAAAGTGTGATGCATTTTGTCCAGTGCATTGACTTTGATGCTCATATAACATCACAGGCTCTGAAATGAACAAACTTGAATCACACAGTTTGTGTTTGAGTCTGCATTCAGGTTTAGGAGGTGCAGACTGGGTAAATGCTGTTCAACAAAAACAACTTATTAAACCAATTTCTGATATATCCCTATTGCATACATGTGTTCACCTCACACAAAATATACATGGCTCTCCTCCTTCCCTAGATGAGGGCTAGCAAACTGAAGCTCAATCCAGACAAGATAAAGATGCTGTTGGTGGGTGGGTCTCTTGACCAGATGGTAGAGGTTCAACCAATTCTAGATTGCACTCCCCTGAAAAAGCAGGTTTGTAGCTTGTGGGTGCTCCTTGATCCATCTTTGTCACTTGAGGTGCAGGTGGCCTCTGTGGCTCAGAGTGACTTCTGCCAGCTTCAGCTGGTAGCCCAGCTACGCCCCTGCCTGGCTTCAGTAATCTACACTCTGGTGATCTCTGGATTAGATTACTGCAACACACTCTATATGGGGCTGCCTTTAAAAATGGTTCAGAAGCTGCTGGTGGTGCAGAATAATTACTGGGACTTGTAGGTCTGAACATATAAGACCAGTTCTGGTTTGCTTGCATTGGCTGCTTGTATGCTTCTGGGCCCAATTTAGAATGCTGGTTTTAACCTATAAAGTTCTACACAGCTTAGGACCACAATACCTGTCAGAGTGCCCCTCCCAACCATGATCTACTCAGACATTATGCTCAACCTCTGAGGCCTTCCCCCAGGTGCTAACCCCACAGGAGGCTTGGAGGATGGCAACAAGAGGTAGGGCCTGTTCTGTAGTACACTCACATCTTTGGAACAAGCTCCCTGCTGCAGTCCACCTGGCACCAAACTTTCCATCTTTTCATCACTGGGTCAAGACAGCCCTTCATGCAGAGTCCTTAAAAGATATCCTTGGTTATCCAGGGGTCTGAGTGGATTATCCAGGTGATTCTTTTCCTTTGCAGGGCCTTTTCTATTATGCATATATTTTAGTTATTTTGAATTACTTTTAAATTCATTTTAACATTGTTTATGGCATAGCTGTGTCTGTGTGTGTTATTTTATACATAGTTGTAAACTGCCCAGAGAGCTTCAGTTATGGGCTGGTATGGATATTAAATAAATAAGCAAGTAGTCCTTTCCAAATCAGTCTTAAACAAGAAGCTAGCTAGAAGAAGTAGGGAAGGAGGATAATCTAATGAAATGGACAGTAGGATTTGGAGCAGGGGAAGGATAGCAGCAAGGGCCAGGGGCTGAAAGGGGCTGTAACTTAGGAAGAAGGAAGGTATTGTTGCGGGGAAGGTGAGATGAGATGAGCAATGAAGTTGCACTTGTGAAGCGGCCACTGAAAAGTATGTTGCTGTTGGGATCATCCTTAGGAGAGAGACTAGGTGAGGATTGTGAAAAGGTGAACTTGCTGTTAGCAGTGGCAGGTGTTAGTCCTGTGGCTTTAGAATGTCTCAAGATTTCAATATACAGTTCACCTTTTAAGCGTTAAAAACCATGCATGGGCACAAAAAGGTATTTACAAATTCACTTGAGCCTGTTTTATGTCAGAATTCTGAATGTGCTGCAAAGCAGTCATTGTTCACATACCACACGAGATTCAACGTCCAGCCTGCCACAGTCCATGCTGCAGATTACCCTGAAATATGACAATCCCAGTTGCTACACTATGCTTTATCATTCCTGTTGTATCATTGCTTTCTCATATTCCCACTTCAGCTGTGTCATCTGAATTAGGCAGATTAGAAATTCCCAGGTCACAGACATTTTCTGTATACATTGAGCTTTTTTTGCTGCTTACCTATACGTGTTCAATACTTTTATTTTCCTTTAGTGAACTTACATCAGGAAATTACCTAGTAGGCATATTGTGGCATGTTTTGCATATAACACCTTATTTAAATGAGAATGAGTCACAATATATTCAGTCTTCTATAAATTGCCATATAGAATTTGGTTTATTTTAATTATGCCTGAACTTCCATGTCTTTCTCTTGTGGATTTTAATTACTGTTAGCCACTCAAATAGTTCTCCATTGTTTATAGGAATAGCATATACATTAAAGATGCTTATGATGATGTTTACAAAAACTCATTGAATATTCTTAAGACAAATGACTTGCTGTTTTCTGTGTTTGTGTGTGCACATGCTTGTGAATGTGAGCGTTTTAAAGAGGTACTTTGGATACTAAATACAAGAAACCCCCCCTCCCCCCAAGCCCTTCAGTTATGTATTGCGATTTCACTGGTAATGTAGTGCCACCTGCTGTTTCCAGGAGGTCAGTACTACAGAATTATTGTTTTAATTTACAAAGATAAACCATGTGGTTTGAAGAGACAGTTTGAAATTGAAGCTTATTATATGAACACCTTGCCAAACATCCTGCAGAACTGTATCGATAGTTTTCCTGTGTGTTCATATTTCTCTTATTTTTTCCACCACCGTTAAAGATAAAAGCAGAAGCGCTACTAGGAACAAGTTTGTGATTTTTATACAAGGAATGATTTATGTATGAAAAATGGCATCAACAGTCACTAATACAAATAGTTCTGTATTTTCAGTCTGGCCAAAGTGAAAGGACTTGCTGTCCAATGAGTTAGTATTGATTTTTTTTGTCTGTACCCTCTTAGCTTTCTGACTCCATTATTTTTGATTTTACTATGAAATATATATCCTTTCTACTGACATCTGACAAACATTATATGGAAGTCATTTTATCTACCAATAATGTGTTTGTCAACAATATTGTAGACTAATGGATAAAGCTTCCTTCCAGTCCATTTTTATCCAATTAATGTCACTGAAGTAATTCAGGAAAACAGTCTGTGATTTTGGTACTCTTGGGAAACCTGTCTCCAGTTTGTGACTGTCATTCGCATTAGAGCACGCACAAATACAAGGATCATACCCTTGCCTACTCATAGTTTCTCACTGAATATTTGATATTGCAGAAATAGCCAGGTATGTTGGTCACATGTGACAATATACATATTGTGTGTATATTTTTTTCCCATACAGATGGGATACCTGTCACTCATGTAGGAAAATCAACATGTGTGAATCCACCCTTTGAATTCTGTGTTGTGTTCGTACTTCATATTATATTTTATTTTGAGTAAAATGTGAACCATCCAGACAGCTTCAGTTATTAAACAAATAACGTAATGTAATGATATAATATAATAAATGTATATGTAGTATTCCAAATAAATAATACTGAAATGCAATTTTAGATAGGGAAAGAGTAAAAGGGGTTCTAATACATTTTAGGATAGGTACCTAAAAGAAGTTTAGATGCAGGAACATGGCTTTTCTCTCTCAGTCTAGCTGTACACTGTCCAGAGACCCTTCCTAACTCAGCAAATAGGGGTGATGTTTCTTTGGGTTTTTCAGTGTGCATCAGAATACCTTTATTCTGATATATCTTTTTGCTGGTTTTGGTATATGCTTGCTCGATGTTACTAACTTTATTTCTGTTGCAGGAAAAAAAAGTAGGATTCATATTTATTAAACTGAAACTCAGAGGAAATGGGTTTAGAATTTATTTTTTATAACTCTACAACATTTTTCAACTATTTCAGTTGTTCAGAGCTTGAAAAATGCTTTAAAATGTCACATGGAAGCAACGTCAGAATGTTAAAATACTGTACATAAATACAATATTGATACTCATGGAGATCTGCTTTTGAGAGACAATGGGCTTTCTGTAAAATCAAACCATCGCTGTATAGAAGCAATTCGCAAGGTGTGAAGGAGGCCTCCTTGAGAGGGTTGGACTGCCAGATAATGAGTGAACTTTATTAAGTCAAGAGACACAATACCAAGCCTCTACTTCTTTCAAGCATCATACTGGACTATTTGTATTTTCTTGCCACAGGTGGGGGGATGTCTGCATATTTATACGCACCCTTTCTTCCTTCAAGGAAGTCAGTTCAGCATACATAATCATCCTCCATCTCTTCACCATCTTATCCACATAAAAACCTTTTGAGGCACACTAGATAGATTGTTTGTAACTGTCCCAAAATCACCAGTAAAACTTTCTGGTTGAGGGGGAACTAGAACCCAGATTTCCCAGATCCCAGTCCAACACTTCAACCACTACACTACACTGGCTCTCAGTACTATCAAGGATCTCACTTGTCAGCAGTGTAAAAGCAAAAAATTCATTTGTAAAAATTTTTTAGCTTTTCCATTCTTTCCCCCGAATAAAACAAGAATACTTCCTCCTCGACAGAGGCATAGCTTGCTTCAGTTTTTTTAATGTTTTTTTTCCTAAGCTGAAAAAAATACTTAGAAGAACATTGTAGGGGGGTGATTCTAAGCGTATGCTAAACCATACTGACATTATACCCTCTTCCATAGACCAAACCAGCCTCGTAGAGCAAGTGAAACGAGTAAAAGAAATTGAAGCAATTGAAAGTGACTCCTTTGTTCCTCAGACATTCAGATCAAGTAAAGAAGTCAAAAAGGTAAGTTTTCAATCTCACAATCTCTTTTCTTTGCCTAAAGACCCTTGTGGACCAGTGTAAAGCTGGTGTATTAATGCAATTTGCATTGACATGACTGTTCATACTAATAATCTTAATTCCCAGTCATCAGAAATCAGACAAATATGGATCCCAGTCATGATGCATCTTGTATCATGATGCATCTTGTAATATGGTGTGTATTTTAACCAAAGAAAATTACACTTTTGTCCTAAATGCTGTGTTTAATGTATATATTTTTGAGTCACTGTGAAATGAAAATGCTCCAATAAATAATTATTTTGGCATAGCGATCACACTTTACATATTGCAATAAAAAGCATTAATGTTTGGATAAGAAAACAAGGTTGAGTCTACTCGCAAATGAGAATATTTGTTTTCCCTTTCCAGCGACAATGTCTGGGGAATCTCCCCCCACCCAAAAATAGTTCCAGGTCATCACACCAGATGACCATGTAGTGTCACGTTAAATGGCATGTGATGTAGTGCAAGAAGCTGCAGCCAGACAGCATTAGCACTCCATCCATCCATGCACAAAGGAAACCAATACATATCTATTTTCATGATTACAAATACAGTCTGGATTTAAAACAGTAATTCTTCCAGAGAAATTTGGGCTAACTAAAGTAAACAATCTCTGTCACACAGAGTTGTAGATTTGGGAGTGCATAGAACAGAATAACCTTTCAGCATATTAACCAACTTCTGAGAGATTCTTCTGCTTTTTTCCATTGCTGAAATGTAATTCCTTGTCAAGATAAAAGTATCCCCTATAATATATCTGGCACCCTTCAATAATCCCACAGCCACATCAGTCTACTGCTGCAGGTCAGGGGTATTTCCAACTACTCAGGACAGAATTAGATTGAATATAAAGTTTACTAGGTGACTATTATTCTGATCCTCCTCTCCCTTTTAGACCACAGAACCTGTGGAAGTCAAAGGTGAACCTGCAATAGCAGAAATGGGAAATGTTGGTCTGACTGCTACTGAAAAAGAAACAGTGGCTGGAAGTATTCCTACTGCTATCAAATACCAAGATGAGAACTCACTTGCCCACCCTAATGTAAGTTTAGTGATTATTATTATGGAACATTTTGATTACTAAAGTTTACATAGGGCACGCAAAGGCAAGGTTATGTTTTCTGTGTGACCCATGTGTAGATACTGGGGTATTTTAAGTCTTCAAATAAACCCTGCTGTACTTTCTTTGTAATGAAAAGTCACTTTTTATTGTATACAGGGAACAATATAGGTGTCTGTCATCATAGATTTTTTCTATTAAGACATTATAAAGGATCTTCAGAGATACTTGAAGAAGCTCTTTTGTTCCTGAACTGCCTTCCTAATTAGCTTTAGGCTTTGTATCCATTCTTTAGTTGACACAGTGAAATCTAGGAAGATGTATGAAGGATTCAGTTGTCTGATAAAGGGATTAATTTCTAAATTATGGGTGGCAGACCCCAATCCTATGTAGATGTGTAGCAACAGACTGTACTTAGTGTCACACAGTACTTACTTACCTATGAGAGAAAAGTACTCTCTCAGGGACATTTCCCTATAAATGTTCTAGCTGCACTATGGAATCTCCTGGTGTTGAAAATAGGATCCTGAGCTAAGCTCTGAAGCACAATCTGACAGATAATGAACAACAGCACAATCCTAACTTTGACTAGATATTTGAATGTACATTCCCCTCAGCAATATTGATTGAGTTTTCTGACAATGAATGTCCCAGGGCATTTGCAGAACTCTCAAACCCCAATCTCAGTAGGACACCTAAGTAAGCTTGACCTTTTTCCTTCTCTTGTAGCTCTTTGTTGACAAGGCAGAAGCAGAAGAACGATGGTTCCAGAGACTGATGGCACTTCGACAAGAGAGGCTAATGGGTAGTCCTGTGGCCTGAGTAAATAGCCTATCCAATTTCATTGTCTTCTGTGCTATGAAATTCCAGTGATAACATTGGATGAATGTCCGAATAAATATGGCCTATGAAGAAAGGAAAAATTTAACCTGTCTCTGTTGCCAATATTGTTTTAATTCAGCACTATAAAATAAAGTCAGTACTATATAATTTTTTTTTAAAAATACTATTATGATATAATGGTGTGTTGTCTAAATAGCTGGAGCATGCTACATGGGTAAAGGTGAGGTAAGAGGGAGCGTTAGACAAACTGCTGGGGCACTGTCCTGAAGGCAGCCAAGAGACCTTGGCTGGGCTTTCAGATGGAATCTATGCCTGTTAGAAATAGCTGCAAATAACTTGATTTTTCTCAAGCCATTTGCCGGCTGTGATACAATTCCTTTATAATGAAAACCAAGTAATATAAAGTTACCTAGAATTGTTGTGGCTATATACCATCAAATCATTTCCTACTTATGGTGACCCTATGAATGAAAGCTCTTCAAAATGTCCTATTACATCCCTGCCTAGCTGTTCTAAATTCAAGGCTGTGGCTTACTTCATGAAATCAATCCATTTCTTATTTGGTCTTCCTTTTCTTCTTCTGCCTTTGACTTTTCCTAGCACGATTACTTTCCGTAGCACAATTTATCTAGCATTAGATATTTTTTATTCCTTTATTTTATTTTAAATAATAAGTAACCTAGAATGTCTTCCTTTATCAAACTGAATGAATATATACATATATATATCTCCTCTCCCAACTAAAGCAAGCCAAGTTCTTCTGCTTTTTGACATCATTATCATCATCATCATTAAATTTTAATCATATACGTTTTTGTCTTTGCAACAATTTGCTGTGAACATAGAACACAGAGAAATTATAAAGAACTGATCATATGGCTATTTTTAAAGACAGAAACAGTCTTCTAGCAAAAGAATAAGCTAATGGGATCTAAGCTAGCTATGACTGACCAAGATCAGGGATCTTGGGGTTGTAGTGGACAGCTTGATAAAAAATATCCACTAAGTGTGTTGCTGTGGGAAAAAAAGGCAAACTCCATATTGGGCATATTTGGGAAAAGAAAACTGCCCATACTGCCATTATACAAATCTATGGTGTAACCACACTTAATATTGTGTTCAGTTCTGGTCACTGCACCTTAAAGAAGGTTATTGTAAAGCTGGAAAACGGTGAAGAGGTTGGAACTCTTTCCCTATGAGGAACGCTTACAACAGCTGAGATTGTTTAGTTTAGGAAAAAGTTAAGTAAGGTAAAACATAATAGAGGTATACAGAATTATGCATGGTGTGGAAAAAGTAGAGAGAGAGACATTTTTCTCCCTTTCCTATTATACCTGGTGTCATCCCATGAAGCTTATACTTATATTGAAGTATTTCATCACATGGTCCATAGTTACAACTGTGCACTTTGCATACACAAGTAATCACCACCAATTGGGATGACTTTAAAGGGGGATTGGACAAATTCATGGAGGAGGAGCCTTATCCATGGCCAGTGGTCCTGATGGCTGTATGCAACTTTCAATACCAGTGGCACCAGGTGTTGAAGAACTTGGGCAGGAGGTGCTGTTCATGCATGCCCTGCTTGTGGAATCCTGTGTGAAGCTCGGTGAAAAAAATGCTGGACTAGATGTACCCTTGGTCTGATCCATTGTGACTCTTCTGATACTCCTATCTAGTAAAGTGTCTTTTACATATGGTAATTACTTAAGCTTTTCTCTAATAATTTGTCTTAGAATGCCTGAACTTTTGTTCTTAATACTTTATGCATTTTTTTTCATTTCCCTGTACAATGCAAGGATTAAATAGTTAACATTTTACTTAATTCTTAAAGTTCGTAACTCTTAATAGTTGACAGATTTTGAGGGCATGTTTTAAAGCTACAAGTGAGTGATATATAAAATTTTATATGTTCCTTTTTCAGTTAATGCTATCTAAGTTATTTCTTTGTAATATATACCACTTCATATAATAACATCCCTATATGGGTCACATATACCTATTAAAAATTATATTTTAAATGCACTGCTAAAACACAGTTACAATAACAAAACAATACAAGGTGCAATCAGATTATTAATTATAATTAAGGTGATTAAGCATATGATTAATTGCAATTAATTTCAAGCCAGAGAATGCTTGGATGAACAAGTACATTTTCAGGAGGCATTTGAAGTTTACCACATTTTCTGCATGGAGAAGAGAGTTTCAGAGGATAGGTATGAAGAAGGCTTGCCACTGAGATGGGATGTGGTAACACCCTGCAATACCTTCTGTAAAGATACTAAAGGTTAGTGGGTAGTGGGGAAGGTGGTCAGCTAGTTTATATATTTTTCTATATTTTATATATTATTTACTAGATATATATTCAACAATTAGGAATAGAAGAAAATGTAGAATAAGAAACTTGCTTGCTGTCACCAAGTACTCAAATAATAGTACAAAATTTAGGAGATAGTCAAAAGGCTTATGGGTGATCATTTACTTTCCCTAAAAAAAGGGAGGGGGGAATCAAACTGATTCCCCCATCTGACAATGCTGGCTAGATTTTAAGATTCTCAGTGGGCACTGAAAATAAATAAATAAGCTAAAGGCATTTAGTATGGTAAGACTATTTGCTCTGGGGGATTATATTATGCACTTCTAATCTTCTCAGCCAGCTTCAGGGCATCATACCTATATCTTCTCCCTTACATTTGTAGATATAAAGCACACTTTTTCTTGATACATCATATGACCATTCAAACTTTGTTTTATGCCATAAAACATGTTTTATTTTGTGTGAAAGATGAGCAGAAGACAAAGCACTTTATTCAGTAATATAAAGTGCTGAATCATAAGCAGGCCTGTTAATTTATATACTATTCATTTCCAACAATAACTCCATGTCCTTTGTTTCTTTACTAAAAAATGACATAACAATACTAAATAGAGTGTGTATATATGCATACATACAACTATATGATAAATTCAACATCATGTGAAGTGAAAGCCGCTGAGCAGAGCAAGTTGACCAAACTGATTTACAGGCAGTGTGTCAGGCATTGCTGGCCAAAATGTTACTCCCAATGTTGCATGTTCAAATTCTTCTTCATATACTTTCTGGAGCCTCAAAAATATCTGGCTTATTTGCACTTTGTTTATTTATTTATGTCCCATTAAGCTGCCTTCTTAAGGATACATTTGTTCTAAATCATTTATGCCTAAATGCAACTATTACTTATTGAGATAAATGATTTTAACATCATACCTAGAAAAACATTCCAAAATCTCGTGACATTGGCTTGTTTGCAACACAAGAATTTTTTCTTTTACTCCATCCCATCTTGTGGGTACATGTTCCCCAAACACATCTCTTCTGATCTGCAATTATCCGTCTTGTTATATTGTCTCATCATATTCCTGTTTTATAATTAACATAATTATGTTATGTCACTATAAGTCCAATATGGTCATTGAACCTGTGGTGCCTCAAGTATAAAACTTAGCACCTGTTGTTTGGATTTCGCTCTTATCAGGAAGAAGTACTGATGAGCCCATCATTGATCACTAATTATTTGGCACTTAGATGTTGCATCTGGAAAGCCTCAAAGATAAAACAAGTTTAATTACACTTAAACCAAGAGGCCAAGCTGCATTGCATTAGTGACTGGAATTCCAAATTTTAATCCAATTTGTTATCTCTTGGAGGATTCTAATTATTTAATTTCCTAACTGGGTTGCAGGAGCAAGATAGTGTAAATATAAAAGAGTTGTCTACTTTGTCACAGTTAAATCTTCAACTTGTGGGATCCAAGCATTTTATTTATTTATTTATTAAAACATTTCTATGAGAAGGTAGCACATTCAGAACAACCCCAGTGCCTGAAGGAAAAGAGTTCAGCCTGGTTCTGTTTACTTGCCAGAGCTTCAACATGATCCTTGACTTTGTCCACTGTCCAACAAGTCAGCAGTACTCTCTTCATAACAGTCCAGGCCTAACAGATAGCTAGATACCTGGAAGATCCTTTCTGAAGGCACACAAAACAGCAAAAGATAAAAATCAGTATGATAGATTCTAGTGAGGCAAATTCTTCTGGATCAACACTTTGTCTGCAAACAACACCCCTTCAACGTAAATAGTGTGGTTTCTAAGTAGGAAACGTGTAGACTGTATGTGATGGTATTCCCTATGGAGGGAGAGAATGCCTGTTTCAAGACTCCTGTGAAACAGACACTTGGAATTTACATTGGTACTTGTAGTATTCATCACATTTCCTAATTGTAGCATGCTTGTTAGCAACTAGATCCAGTTCTATCTAGCCTTCCACCCCTCATTTATTTCTTAGATACTGTTCATTCAGTTGGTGATAAAAATTAAATGGTGTACTTTAAACAAAATCATAGACAAAAACCTTAAGACAAATGAAAGTTAGTTGCTGATTGGGACTTTTGGCTTAGAAACATGGTTGTTGTGTGCTTTCAAATCATCTCTGACTCATGGTGACTCTATGTATGAAAGCCTTCCAAAATGTCCTATTCAAGATCGCTTCTTTTGCCTTCAACATTCCCTAGCATGACTGCCTTCCTCAGGGAGTTTTACCTTCTCATGATGTGCCCAAAGTATGACAGCCTCAGTTCTGTCATTTTTCTTTCCAGGGAAAACTCTGGCTAGATTTGATCTAGAACCTACCTATTTGTCTTTCTGTCAGTCCAGGATATCCCCAAATCTCTCCTCCATGTGTCAAATGCATCTATTTTCTTTCTACCAGTTTCTTTATTGTCCAGCTTTCACACCCAAACATACTCATCAGGATTACAATAGCATGGTTGATCTTGGCCTTGGTCTCCAGTGAAACATCCTTGAAGGATTTCCAGGTAGCAGAGTTTTATCCTCTAAATTCTTGCAGCTCCCCATTACTCACATATTTGTTCCAATATGCTTAATTTGTATACTTTATGCAAGTTATAAGAGGCAAATTTTCTTGAGTCTTAATTTGCATTATCTGGGCCCAAATTACTGTATTTTTTCCAAAGGTTGAGCATATATCATCCTGTGAGTAATTCATGTAACCCTGACCATAATGAAGTTCTTTTTCCTTCTTT